GTTTCGACATAAATATGGGATCGGTTGCCATGTTCTGACATAAACATTGGATCGGGTACCACATTTCGGCATGCTAACAGTCTGGATGTGGGTTCCATGAGAGGACCATTGAATTGGGTTTCGTGAGAGGACCATTGAATTGTGTTGTGTATCTACTTGTGAAGATTACGTTCATCTCTAATGATGATTAATATTGGAAGACTGTATGTTACTCTAAATTGATAACCAATGTGTATTATTGAAAATGTGGGATGCTACATTGATCCTGTAAAGATGACTAATATTGTATATATTCGGTATATGCATGTGGTTTAATGTTGTGGTTACTTGCATGTGTTTCACTTATTGGGATAGCCGCGTGATCCTACTAGTACACTGTGGTTGTGTACTGATACTGCACTTGCTTGTTCTTTGTTGAGTATAGGGCATCTCCAGGAGGCTATTGATAGACCTCAGCTAAGTAACTATTGATCGTGACCGGATTCAAGGGTGAGCCAGTTCTTCAGGCTGCCATGAATCTCTCTTGTTTAAGTCCACTCTTTTCGGACTCAGACTATTTGTGTAAGGTGTTTGTTTAGTTTCGGGGTTGTACCCCTTGTTCTTAGACTTGTCGTTAGTGGAGTTTTGGTACAATGACTTTCAGGTTCTAGGGGTTATTCTTCCGCATTAGTTTGGTTAGTTGTTTGTTTAAAACCTTGGAGTTTATGGGGACTCCATTTTTATAGTCAATTAAACCTGCTTCTGTATCTTTAAATGTCTTAGTTTTCATAAAATATTTTTGTTTGGGTTGTAGTAATGGTTCTCTCACCGAAGGATTTGGGTGTCAATCACTACGGTCTGGGTCGTGAGAGTAAGCTAGTTATATTTTTTTCCATTTATTTTTATGTTGGAATATGCCATTTGAATTTGGGTTTCTTGTTTTTACTAGTATTGGTTTCTAGTATTTCTAATTTAGATTGTGTTGTGAATGACCTAGGAAGTAGAACAATAGATAAGTTTCTAATACTTGCTGAAGATGTTAGTTAATGGGTAAAAAACAATACGAATCTTAATAGTTTAGGAGCTAATTACTTCATTTTTCGTGAGTTTATAATATTAGTCCTGGACACGTGCTTTGCACGTGAGTCCTGTGAAAGGTATGAATTACTATCAAAATCACATTGTAATCAATATCACAAGCTATTCAAACAAAAAATATAATTTAAAATCGATGAACAATCAATGTATTCAAACAACTTCTTTATTGTATGTCAAATGATTAGACATTTGAAGAACCTGCAAAATTTAGTTTGGTAACTAAAATAATGAGTTACATTTTTATGTTATTAGGTCCAAACATATGATATATTAGTATGTGCAAAAATGAATAACAAAAATGATTAATGGTTCTCATTTAAATGCACAATAAGAAAATTTCTA